TCTACACAACAAAAAATGAATCTTGAAAAAACTTTGATGTAAATAAATTTATGCTTAGAGTTTGATTGACTGACCTGAGAAACTTTGAAGGGTTTCTGAAATCAATCGGGTTTTGACCTTCGAAGTTTGTAATAATTGAGAAATTTCTCAATCAATTTTAAAGGTTGGATCTTTTTGGCAGAAGATTGCTCATGTGGAGGAGACGTCAGTGCTGTGCTATGACAGACCAATGGAATTTGCTTTTTCTTCTCTTTTCTTTTTTACAAAGTTATATTTTCACCCCTTCAAGTTTGCCTTATGGATGAAATGCTCTTTCACTATTTTTTTTTATTTTTTTTTTTTAAGATTGCGGATAGGAAAAGGGAAATAGGACGGAAATTACAATATGAAGAATTGAATTCTCGATGATAAAGTGGAAGCTTAGCTAGCCAGTCAATTGAGCTATGAAAGATTTTTTGAATGAATCAAATGATTCTCTCTAAATTTAAATCAGAACTCTTCTTGTAAATTATTTTTTTATAACAAAATATAAAATATTATAACCATAAAGTTTTCTCCGCATGATCAAAAGTGATTAAACCGCTTTACAAACAATCATTTCAGTAATAGGAATCATATCTAGGAACACAACTCCTCAAGTAAGTATTTACATTTTCTAACCTTCTCATTGATTTTCACTAATAATAGTTTTTCTTGAACAATAAATTTTATCTATTGTAGTATATGATTTTGTTGTAAATCAATCTATGTCTAGAATGATATCCAAATCAAGCATGTTTAACTACACTAGATTAATTGTGGTGATTTTAAGAAATATTGATACTAGGCAATTTTTATATACTCGTTTACCTATAACTGACTCACCAAAAAAAGTAATGATTAAGAAGGGTACTGATAAGATTCGGGGCTGACATTAAAGTTTACTACAATATAAGGAGTCACGAAGAATAGTGTGGATGCAATAATTTATACTAAAGATATTCATGTCTATCAATATTTATTATCTCCTACATGATATATCCTTTAATTAGGGGTGGACATAAATATCGAAAAATTGAAAAATATAATCGAACTATTTTGATTACTCACTATTGATTCTTCAGTATTTCGATTTGATGTCGGTTCTTTAATTTTGAGACTTTGGTGCATCGGTTCGTAGTTCAGTATAAGGGTCCCGAAACTTCGGTGCCTCAAAAATCAAAGTTTTATTAAATAAATTTAAAAATATTAAATTATATTTTTTAACAATACTTCTATATTTTGACTCAAAATATTTACCTGGTCCATTTAAGTTTTAGCTTTACCTAGGTCCAGGCCTATTTCAATTTTTAAATTTTAGCAAAAATCTAAGTGACATAACAGTAAAGTATAAACCCTAAACTCTATGTCCATATATTTTTTTTAATGAATAAATAACATATCATATGCTTTGACTGAGAATATATTTTCAACCCCAACGAAAGTTTAGTAACATAAACAAAATTTGAATTCTTCTAGTTAAATAACCATCTATGTTATGTCTTTTTAATTATAAATTAAACAGATGAAACTCTTGACACTTTATCATATTCCCTTTTTATTTTTATTCACATCGAAAAAATAATTTAAAAACACCAAACTAAATCGAACCGAAATAAAAAAACTAAACCAAATCGATCTTGTTTGATATGAAATATGGTGCACACTTTTATAAAATTGAATATCGAAAAACCAAACCGATAATTTGATTAAATTGAATCGAAGAATCGAACGTCCACCCCTATTTTTAATATTATAATATGAATTTAAATATTTGTATTGCAATATACCGAGCTTAATGTGTCTAAGATTACGTTTGAATTATGTCATATTAAAATAGTCATTAAAAATATAAAGATAATATATATGATGGAAGTACCTCAAATACAAAACAGATTAACTAAGTATGATCAAAATTTTAATAATGACACCAAAAGGATAACTATAAATCTTTATGACTCATTTTTTATGATTCAAAAGCGATTCATGATAGCACCTACCATAAAATCAACAGTAAGTTAACCTAAACCACAAGCAGAAAGCGATAAATACATTTAAACAAAACTACACAAAAGTAATTATAATAAGAAGAGAAGCCCATAGTGTATATATATGTAGTTACAATACAAAATTTACAAAAAAAAAAAAAAAGATCAAAAGTGACCAATAAGACAAACTTTACAAAGAAAACTGCCTCAAACATGGTTTCACTGATACAAGAACATCTAATTACAAAATTAACTATCTCTAACGGTACTATCTAATCAAAGTATAAAATACATAGACAATACAAAAGAGAGAACTATAGCACGAGGCATCATAGGCCGAGTGATCTCGGACAATATAACTTAAAATTCGATATGCAAATCGCCCGAAAGCACCTTATTGAGCTATCAATAAGAATAGATTTTCTTTTATCAAGAAATATGATTTTTTTAGTTTTCCACCCTGTGTCTGGATCCTATATTGGAGCTCTGACAAAATCTAGGTCGCGCATTGCAAGACTGATTCGAAGGTGACATTCCTAACAAGACTTTCTCTATACCAGAGCTCAAACCCGAGACCTCTGATTAAGGGTGAAATACTCCCACCAGTGGACCACAACCCATATTTGCCTCGAAAACTCGAGCCTCGAACGTGAAATAAGTTTTAAGTAATTATCTTTTTAAGACACAAAACCTTAAAGATAGTGCATTTTCCCAAAATTTAAGTTCTTTTCGCAAGTAAAAAAATTATCCCGCTATCTCATAGCTCAAACAAGTAGAAATTGTATTATAACATTTAGATGTATCAACCATGCTTTCCTCTCATTTTTAGATACAAATATGCCAAGTGTAGATAATGAGCATGTTTCATACAATATTAAGTCATTCTTAAATTAATTACATCAAAATAATCAATCGGGTAGACATCCGTCTTCGTATAATAGTACTAACCTAGCACTCTAACTAGTTCAAGTCTAAGATCAAAGTTTTAGGCTCACAAACATAATAATAATAATACGATAAAAGCATGAAATAACAGAAACTCTCATAAACATATCAAATCAAAACAATGTGCAAGAGTCTAAGGTTTCAACCACCTAGAAACATTCTAACGATTCTAGCTCCACTTAATCTTAAGAATTCATGACTAAATGCAAATTTGAAAAGTGATCAAAAGAGCGACTAAGGATCATGCAACCTAAATTCTCAACCTAAAGCCTCCCTAACGATTAATACGACTTAATATAAAGATAATCTAACTAAGCCAAGTCTAAACAGAAGAAGTCACCTCAAGATCGAAATTGCAGTCAAACCTTTAATAAATAAGTAAATAAATTAGACTAATTCGATCGATTTGTGTCAAAGTACAATAACATTTAAAAATATGTAACTAATACCCACATGAATATAGTATAATTTAAACTGATAGTACTCGATTAGTTGTATATGGAAAGACTTCAACTCTTATTTTTAACTAAAAAAGTAAATGCTATAATTTTTTTAAAATATACATATAATAAAAAAAATGAAAGTAAGTTGATAGGAATAAATATGTAATTTTATTATTTTAATTCAAGCATAACTAATACCCATCTTCTACTTTGCATAAAATTATATCTATACTTCCTCATAAATTATGTGACTATTAATTATATAGAATTACTAAAACACAACAAAACACCATATAAGATTACTATATGAATGCACAACAAAATTTTACTAAATTAATATTCGGTGAATTAATAATTTTCCTAAGATAATATTTTTTTACGGTCTCAACTTGGGCCAAAAAAAAATCACCCCTTTTGATAAGAAAAAAAGATAATATTTAAGAAGTCCTCTATAAGGTTCCATTAATATTATAAATTAATAATTCCTTAAAAGTACAAATATATATAACATAATTTAGTAAAATATGATTCTATTGTGTGTGTTTTTTGGGTTAATATTTAAATATAGTTGAAACTCATCTCTAAGTTTTGTTTTTTTGGGTTGATATTTAAATATAGTTGAAACTCATCTCTAAGTGTTCTTATTTCATCCAAAAGTTTTAGTATTGTCTTTTCGACTACACCATAAAATTATGAAGAGTTCTATGCGATACGTGATTCCTTACGCGTAACTGACTCCAAAAGTATTGGATCATCTTTAACTTATCAACAATATCTTTCTCGGTGATATCCATAACTTCTTTTAAGCTCTGGACCTCTGAACATGCATAATTTTTATTTGGGTAATTTAACAGGTTATTGACGTCCATTTTATTGCGATAACTGGGATAATTAATCATGACCTCAACTTCATGAGTGACGTGTTGACTAGTAGATTCTTTCTTTTTTTTTTTTGAGATTTCATTTTCCAATGAAATTTATAGTGTTGAAAATAATTTGCTATTTGTCTCTTGCTGAATACTCGTTGTCTAAGCTTGTATTGCCAAATTGACAACATCCGAAACACTTATCTTTTTAGTGAATTGTTTAACAAAAACATATATTACAAATAGATCATACACACACATTATACTTTATATGATGAAGTTTTATTTATTTTTGTATGGATTCAGATAATTTTGATGTATTCATTGCGCTTTATATTTTATTTTTATGTGAATTTAATAACTAAGATACATAAACTAACAAAACACAATAATTTTTATGTGATCAAAATCAACCTTTCTTGAATCTCAAAATACTCTTTAATAATATCTCTACAAGATAATAATATTTCACGATCCACCTATATTAATTAAGAGAAGTTTTAGTGTAACTTTTACCCTAACATTTGAAACCCAACAATCAAAAATTATATAAAATCAACAGAAATATTTAAAATTCCATTAAACTTAGTGCAAATTAATAGTTTCATTCTCAAACTATTAACAATCTTAAAAATATCTCTTTATTAATTTCATTTTCAAATTATACTTCTATAATAAGAGTTTGAATTCAGTTGCTATTCAAATAACCTGTCAAGGTAATAACGGGGCAAATTTGACCCTTTTATTTAACCTTTTTAAAAAAACAGAGTAGCTATTTCTCTCTTCTCTTGGCAAAGCAAGAGTTGAGAGAGATCTCATCGGCTTTATACTTTTTGAAGAGATCTCATCCTTTTTTCCTTTCAGTTTCAGATCTCTATATCTTTTTCCAGAATTTTGAATCAGGTTTCGCTTATTGGGTAGATTCAGCCATGGATTTCATGAAGGTCTTCGATCAAACGGTTCGCGAAATGTAAGCGCAAAGTTATCATCTTTTGCTTAAAGCTGTGAATTAGTAGTATCCACTTTTAATTGTGTCAAATCAATTAATTATTTTATTGTGATAACTTTTATCAGAAAGAGGGAGGTGAATTTGAAAGTATTGAAAGTCCCTGAGATCGAGCAGAAGGTAAACAAAAAATTCACTTTTTCTTAGTATCTTGGTTGGTATTAGCTCATTGGGATTGTACAATGACTGATTAATTAAGTAAAAGAAGTAATTTCTCGAGTAAAGGACCTTTGAATGAGGTACACTAGATTTTCTGAAGCAAAATTTGTGTTTTTATAGTTGTTGAGTAGAAAATGTAGAGAATAGTACTACAGGATAAAGCGACAGAACTAAGCTTAAGAATACGCAGAGAATCCTACGGGGTTGAACCATAGCAATGAGATACAATGCTATAAGCATCTTATTTGTCCGGATCTAGGATCTCTGTCTTAATTGTTCCTCAGAATTCTATCTGCTGTTTGCTAATATTCTTAATTACCTACTCATTTGATCGTGTGTTAGAACCCAAAAAATGAAGTTTAGTGGGCTAAATGTCATCATGAAAGCATCACCAGAGTTGTGCTCTTTGCTATGCATTTTAACTTTGCATAGTTCAGGATTACTTTTTGGTCTAGGAAAATGCTGGCGAGTATCCTTATGCTAGGCTTCTTACATGAAATGAGCGGCGTGGAAATTAGATTGGATGTTAGGGCTTTCTACTTTGGACTCTCCTCTTCTTTTTTTTTCATTGGTTTGAAGGATGATGTGATTATTTCAACATGGTACTAGGTATTGGATGCTACTGATGATGAGCCCTGGGGCCCTCATGGTACTGCTTTGGCTGAGATAGCACAGGCTACAAAAAAATTGTACGAGTTAGCCATTGTATATTCTTGATTCAGTTGATTAATTATTTGTCTGCGTCTTTTCGTTTCAAAAAAAAATATTATTTGTCTGCGTCTTTTCTTCAGCTGGTTGATCTATTTAGGTATTTTGCAGCTCCGAGTGTCAGATGGTCATGAATGTGCTCTGGACAAGATTGACTGAAACTGGAAAGAACTGGCGATATGTCTATAAGGTAGAACTATACTTTTTATGGCATCAACTATCATAGCTAAGAGAATCAAAACTTTAGCACTTCAAACAAAACAAAAAGATTGCAAAAAGTTAAGCTTCCAATGATCATATCTGTTGTCTCTTTCGAGTTTCTATTCTTATAAATTTTCAAACAATCTCTTATTTAAATAGTAATGGAATTAATTTTTGTACCAGTCATTGGCTGTTATAGAGTACTTGGTGGCGCATGGAGCTGAACGTGCAATTGATGACATCATAGAACATACCTATCAGATCTCTGTACGTAAAATTCATGTTATTTTCTCTTCTTTTTTTTCATTTGCCATCACCAATACATAGTGCTTTTTCCTAGTTTTACGAAACACATGTGATCAAATACCTGTCCCTTTATATCTTACGTATTTATCGTTTCAAATTTTTGCTCAAGTCTCTCACAACTTTCGAGTATGTTGAGCCAAATGGTAAGGATGTGGGAATTAATGTGAGGAAGAAGGCGGAAAATGTTGTGGCATTATTAAATAACAAAGAGAAGATACAAGAGGTTAGGAGTAAAGCTACTGCAAATCGTGAGAAGTAAGTATATTATTTCAGGTCTGACTTTCATTTTGATTACTCAAGAGTACCTGAAAACTGTAGTTGCATAATTACATGCTGATGGTATCAGATGCCACCTTTTAGGTACGTTGGACTATCATCTTCCGGAATAACATATAAGGCAAGCTCTGCCTCTTTTAGTAGCAGCAGAAGCGGCTTACAGAGTAGTGAACGGTATGGAGGTTTTGGAAATAAAAGCGATGGTGATTCATTTAAGGATAGTTATAATGAAAAGGATCGATATGATGAAGATAAGGTCGATCAAAGTACTTTTAAGCCAAAGAAGGGATCCTCTCGCTATGGCAGGTCTGTACACCTGGCTCCATTAGCTTATTTATTTGTATCATTGAATTTTCTTAAAACAAGTGTAGCTGACTTCCTTTATCCTGCACTGACTTTATGCGATAGCTGATTATCCCCGAGGTTTTTACATGAAAAGGACTCACATTTGGTGTTACACTGAATATGTTGTTGTTTTTGTAGACTCACATTTGGGGTTTATGGGTCTAAGACAGTTCATGCTTTCACGTAATTGCTGAACGTGTTAACTGATGATGTATAACCATTCAACTAACATACTATTTGAAAGCTGATTGCCAAAGAATGTAACATATATACCAGGAAAATGGCAAAAAATTACATTGCTGGTGGTGCATAAACTGAGGATATGTGTTACCATATTCTCAGATGTTCATGTTGCTAGCACAAACTTTTGCTCTATGTAGTTTCTGCTTCTTCTAGAAAAAGAAAGTTCTCTGTCAAAACAAGCGCGAAGGGTGCTGTACTTTCTTGGGGATTAGGAGAGGAGTTGGGTTGGCGTGTGGTGGGGGAATAAGGATAAGTGCTGCTTATGGATCCTTTAGACTACACTAAAGTGTTTAGACAAATCTTACAGGACCTTTTTAGCTACATTGAAGAATTAGAAATTGAGTAATGGGATGTCTGTGACAGATATTCACACATGAGTTACTGTTAGTAGAAAATTAGATACTTGTATATGAGTCCACATAATGTAGGATCCTTGTACTTTGGTGTTCTTCTCTGTTTTGGTTAACATTTGCTCCATCTTCAGGAATTTGATTTTTTGATTGATGAGGGAACTACATGATTCTGTGAACTCTTTGATTTTTCCCTCGCTTCTTCTGGAAACGAAGATGTGTTGGCAAAAAGTTGATGTTTAAGCCTAGAATCGTCTAGAATTAATATCAATTATTTGTGTAATTTGCTAAGATCTGCCATTTTAAGGATTTGTTAGATACCATATCTAGAACTTTTCTTGTCTATTATCTGCATTCTTATTTGTTGGTGAGAGAAATAGCAGGAATATGTGTTTGTAGTCTGTAATGTGTGAGGGGTGATGTAGAATGAACAGCGTCTGCAGTGATGTAGTGATCTTGTAAGATTAGAGAGAGAGTAGATGGACAAGATTATGAGGAACTTTTTGTGGGAAGGTAGTAAGTATATGTGGAGGGCCTTCCCAGTTTTAAGGGGAGCGCTGAAGCGGAAAACCGACAAGGTCCCGCTTCACGCTTTAAGAAAAGCGCTTGGTTCATTGAAATGAAGCACAATTTAAAAGAAAAAATACCAAAATAAATAGAGACAAAATATATAAGCATAAATTCATATTATGGATTGAAGTGGGGAATGATAGACATTCAAGGTTCCGGCAAGATGCTTGGATAGGTCACACACCACTGAATGTAAAATACCAGGACTTAAATGGATTTACCACTAACTCAGATAGCTTGGTCTCAGACCGTTGGAATGGTAGCACCTTGTGCATTAGCTTTAGAAGGAATTGCTTTGATTGGGGGATACATGAAGTGGCTCTTTTGTTGGGAGATTTGGACAATGTGGCTCTAAATGTCAAGGCACCTGACAGTACCCTCTGACTAGGCGAAATAATGGGTTTTTCTTAGTTCATGCTACAAAACAATTAGTTGTTATAGGGGCAGCCCTTTTAGTTGACCATGGCAGCACTTGTGGAAGTCCAAGGCTCCTTACAAGGTTTGTTGCTTTATGGGGTTGGTTACTCACGAGGTGTTCCTGTCTGAAATCAATTTTCAGAAAAGGCGTGTCATTATGTAGTAGTTATGTGTAACAGTGAAGGAGTATTGCAGCCATCTCTTTCTATATTGCTCACTAGCAAGTCAGTTATGGTAACTGTTTTTTAACTTATTCAAGATACCACTGACCATGCCTGATTCAGTGAGGAAGCTATGGACCATCTAGAGTACTGAAGGAATTAGAAGCCTGCTAGGAAGATTTGAAAAACAATATCAGCTTGTGTTTGCTGGATGTTGTGGAAAGAAAGAAATGCAAGATGTTTTGAAGGGAAAACAAATAAGGTGCATAAGATTGTCTTGCCTAAGGCTATGCAATGACTTATTAGGATTTTTTCCTAGATGTTAAAGGGTAGGACTTAATCATTGCGAGAAGGTGCGCACTAACTTAATTGCACCAACATTGAAATTAGAGAATCAAATGAAGTTTTGGAGGAGTGTGAGACACCCCTCGCGTGAACGGGTGCATGTATGTGTACAACCAAATACTCGATAGAAAGTGCAAATGACAGTGTAGGGAAAGCAAAAACAAGTAGTGTTCAAAAACAATAAGGAACACAAGTTTTGATTTGGCTTGTTGCCTTTCAAACAAAACAATATATCATTTAGGTAAAGCTGAAAATAAACAATTAATCACAAATCTTAATCCTAACTTAAGTTTTCTAAGGTTAAAACCTAAGCAACTCTTGTATGATGTCTATATTTCCTATGCCTGCCAATGTATCTAAGAACATTGATGCCTTAGAAGGAATTTCCTATGGCAAGGCAGTGAAGATATGAAGAAGTTCCATCTAGTTGAATGGGAGGAACTGACTGTGAGTAAGATACATGAGGTCTAGGCACAAGAACCTGAGGAAACAAAATCAGAGCCTAATGATGAAGTGGTTGTGGAAGTTTTCAAATGAAGATCACATGCTCTGGCAAGAAGTAATCACAGCAAAATATGGTATGGAAGATAAGTGGATGACAGAAATGGTAAGTACTCCATATAAATACACTGTTTGGAGGGCAATCAGAAATTTATGGCAGTGCTATATCATAGAACCAGGGTAGAAGTGGGAGATGGTTTAAAGTTATCCTTCTGGGAGAAGACAAATGGAATGGGGCAGTTCCAATGAAACAACTGCATCCTGAATTGTTCATCTTATGCCAACATCAATAGGCCACTGTTACAATGTGGACTGGAGAAGGATGAAATCAGTTCCTTGGGAGGAACCTCCATGATTGGGAAATAGACTAAGCAACAGATTTTTAAAGTTTAGTAGCCTCATTTAGCAATCTCTTACCGATTTGGAAGAATGACCCCAACGGTTAATTCACAATAAATTCTATTTATAAGGAACTCAACAAGAATGCAGGACAGGAGACAGATTGGCCATGGAAGATGATGCGGAAACCAAAGGCACCCTACAAAGTAAACTGCTACACGTGATTGTTGACAAAAGAAGCAGTTTTGATGCATGAATATTTAAGCAAAAGAGGCTATCAGTTGGCTTCTAGATGTACTTTATGTGGAGAGCATACAGAGACAATTAACCATCTTTTTTTGCACTGTACATGGACATAACAGTTATGGAAAATGTTATCTGTCTAAAGGGGATAAGATGGGTGAGACCAGGGAGCATTAAAGGAGTTCTAAGCAGCTGGAATAGAGATGGCAATGCTTAGATAAGTAGAAGAGATGGAAACTTGTCTCAGCATGCATTTGGTGGACAATTTGGAAAGAGAGAAACAACATGAGTTTTGAGAATGTGTAGAACAGCTTACAGAAGATCAAAATGAATTGCTTTGATCTTTTTTATTTTTGGTGTAAAGAAAATATATTAACTAGGACAGAAGACATCTTTGGTGTGCTAGATTGTTTATAGGTAGCAGTTTAGATTTAGACTGTCTTTCTCTCTAAGTTTTAACACTTTTGAAGGGGAGGTTACAGTTCTGTTGTAATATGCATGTGGATATATAGACTAATGTTACCAGTTTCAGAATAAAATAAAAAATCACAGCTGGTTGCTCGCATAGACCATCCTAGTCCTACCATGTCCTAAAAGAGTTGCCACAGTCTTATAGGGCAGTGTAGAAACATATCCCTTTTCTCTGGCTGCATGCCTGCACCACACAAACAACATCTAGAGCTAGGGATGGCAATGGGGCGGGGGCGGGGGCGGGGCAGGTTGAGCTTAACTTGCCCCGCCACATTGCCATCTTATCTACTATCTAGAGCATATATGCCATCCCCTTCCTTAAGTTTTCCTGAGTGAGCATGCTTCTCTTGCTGCCAAGAAAAACATAAAAATTACAAGTGGCCTTGCTCTTCCAGATGAACTTCCATGGCCATAGGTCAGATTGTGAGATTTGCCTAATCTGGTAGTCGTAGGCATAATTGACAGTGTAAACTCCTTCACTGCCAGATTTCTAGCTCAAAGTATTCTCAGATTTTTTGAAACCTTGAATGATTCCAAAATCTTGAACAGATCTACAGCTCTTTCCCAATTCGCAATCATGTAATAATCTTCTAAAAGTGATATCCCATCCTTGTACATCTTTAGTTGATTAAAGGTTTGCATCTGGTTGAGTAGCAATGTTGTAGAAATCAGGGAAAGAGAGAATCATTCCCAAGTCAGTTTCATGCCATAGGAGAATTTTTCTCCTATTACCAACTTTATAGCTGACATTTCTAGCAAGAGGTGACCACAATGATCTGATAGCTTCCCAAACTCCAACCCCACTGGGGCAATTTACAGACTTTTGAATAGGTTGCTCCTTGGTCTAACCATTCTAGCTTTTGGCTCTCAAATTTTTGCCTTTTTCTGTCCCTTTATATTGAAAAGGTGTGTTTTTTCTGTCCGTCCATTTTAAAAAGTTGTTTTTTTTCTGTTCTTCATACTTTAAGCTGCAATACAGTGCTTGTATGAACTTTAGTTCCCTCTTAATTTATATCGTAGATAAAATTTAGCATTGCGTCGACTTAAGTTCAAAACTTGAAATAAGCTGTTTTTTCATGACTGAGTAGATTTCTTGGATGTTTTAACATGTGTCTCATTTTGCTTAACTTGATGACATCTGCAGCAAAGTTCAAGATACTGTTTCTGCTAGTGGATCAAAGATGATTAAGAAGGTAGGTGAGCCTGAAAAATCTTCTTCACAGAGCTCAACTGTACCATCAACCAATTACGAGGAAGATTTTGACGATTTTGATCCTCGGGGTACTTCAAGTTCTAGTAAGTATCTTTTGAGGTTTCAAAGAGATTCAATTTGCAGTCTTCTATTTTGTGCTTCATAGGAGGGTCAAAGTTCCGTTTAACATGTTTTATATACAAAGATTATCTGTAAGTTCACAGATTCAAAGGTATGGGCCAAATAACATCTTTATATTTGCCCCTGCATGGGGTTGGGTGTGCGTACAAATTACACTATTGAAAAAGGGGTAGTAGCAGAAGTCATGTGGGTATGCCAACAAATTACGCTTTGGGGGTTTGTTCTTTTTGAATTAGGTAAAACATTGTAAGTACTGTTGGTTGGCTAAAGTCTAACAAGTTCTCGTATCTAGCTGTCCTATTATACCAGTTACAGCGGTGAAGGAACTAGGGCATATTAATATACTAGTCGAAGAAAACAACGAATTATTATTCAATTTTTAAGACATTTATTTGATACAGGAGACATCCATCTTTACATTAGATCATTGCGTAGAAGTGTAGGTTTTTTGGATGCACCGAAAGTAAAATTTGTGTCATAAATCTCTTGGGTGGGGGATGGGATAGGGGTAATAAACGCCCATTGAATGGGAGCACATATGTGTGGTCGAAAGGAAACCATTGAGGTCCTAATCCAATGTAGAATGCAACTTACACCTTGATTTCTTATTTTTGTTTCAAAATTTAGTGAGTTATTTGGTTGTCGAACAGAGCCTTCTGCAGGAAGTTCTAACCAAGTAGATCTATTTGGGCAAGATTTGCTCGGTGACCTCTTGGATGTACCAACACCTGCTCCAACTGCTACATCTACAGTGAACACTAATCCATCAGAGGTTGATTTATTTGCTGATGCCACCTTTGTATCAGCAAAACCTGAAACTGAAATGGGTGTAACTTCCCAAACTCCAGTAAGAATCCATCCATCACCTTGAAAAAAATCTCACTCTTGAGTATTGGTTGGTTAGTTTTCAAGTAGCCATTTCTATTTTCTGCAGATGGGTGTGGATCTGTTTGCCTCCCAGCCTGCCCCTTCAGGTGCAGCTTCAACAATAGATTTCTTCGCTGCACCGGATCCTGTTATACAGTCTGATAACAAATCCTCAAAATCAGACCAAATGAATATCAACATTGTTGATCCATTTGCTTCAGTTCCACTAAATACTTTTGATAACTCTGACCCTTTTGGTTCATTTGTTTCTCATAAACCTGTACCTTTCCCCGATGAAAATACTAGCAATGGCGGGAATCATGATGCTCGTGACAAAGTAAGCAAATTGTCTGTTGAAGCTAAAACACCAGCAAAGAACACATTTCAAGTCAGGTCTGGAATATGGGCTGATTCATTGAGCCGTGGGCTGATTGATCTGAATATAAGTGCACGTAAGTTCTGAACATCACTTACATTTCTGTTTAATGTTGATTATCATGTGTGCTGTTGGTATTTATATTTAGTGACGTGTGTTGTTTTTTCATAAAACATTGATTCTGGAGATGTTAAGCATCAAGTTGTATCAGAGTCTTATAGTTGCTGGATTTCTTAAAACTAAACTTAGAAAAATTGCACCTTCCCTATTGATTTCAACATACATGTCATAAATGAGTCCGTTGAATATTCTTGGTGCAACTTTCAGTGACCTGGTGGATGTAGTCAGATTAACGAGTCATTGATTGGATACTCGACAATGTCAATATAAGGTCAGCCTAGTAGCAATGCAGAACAGTTCTTGTCTTGTTTCCCAAAACACCCGTCTCCCAAAAGATGGTTTGAATTGTCCCTTCTGAACATAGATCCTTATCAGCTACATGAATTTAGCCAATTGTAATTTGATGGTTTGACCAAACAGGTGCACAAGATGTGTAACGTTTTAAATGAAAAAAATTACTATACTGAAGCTTTATGCTACCTGATGGAACTAACTCTGTTTCCCCGCCTTACCAGCCAAAAAGGTTAACCTTGCAGATGTTGGCGTAGTGGGAGGATTGACTGACGGATCAGATGAGAGAGAAAAAGGGCCAACTTCTTTTTACAGTAGCAAAGCAATGGGTCAAGGAATTGGGTATGGCAAATCTGGTTTTCCATCAGCACCAACAGCTGGAGATGACATATTTTCAAGTCTCAACACACAAAACTATCAGTTTGGCAGTTTTCAGAAGTGAATAATTGCAGGTCAAGATATTCATTTGTGAGCTTTGACGATCGGATTGGAGACACTACATTGTGATTCTGTAAATTAGGAAAGTGACCAAACCAGCAACTATTTGAAGTACAACCCCATGCAGCGTCTTCTATGCTGATATTATCTTTGTTTTGGTTTTTCTTAGCCCCTACTCTTAAGGAGCTTGTATTCAACTTTTCAAATCATATCTTATATAAAGCTTGTCTCATATAACAAGAATAATCAGCACTCAACTCTCTACAGGTGGCAGCAATATATATTGGTATTTATAAGCGCATAATCTTCATTTCATTGCGGTGCGATTAAACCTATTATATATCCTAATGCTGAAATGAATAATTATCTTAGAAAGAAGATCAAAGATTACTGAAATTTCTCATCATCCTTCCCATTCCCTCATTATTTTCAGTCCAGTAGCTGAAACAATGGAGCACATCAAGTTGTACATTGTAGCCACCACCAAACTTCTTATTTATGATACAATGAGGGTCTCTATATGTATTTTGCCTTTTCTTTTTCTTGTCTTGATCTAAAGATACAATATAAAGATCAGAAATCTAGCAGTTTCCCCATTAGAATAGCTTGGGCTTTTCTGGCTTGCTTTTGTGGTCCAATGATGAAAACCTGCACCAAAGCAATCCTAAGATGAGACAAGTAATTCAACAGCAATTGGAAATACTTTAAAGAAGAAAAAAAGAGCAACCCAAAAGTAAGAACAACTTTGCAGAAACAGTAGTTAAGGTGGAAAGTCAAAACTATCTACAATTTTGCATCTCTCATATGAGGGGTTCCAACCACCTCAGGATAAATGGTGCACAATGAACTTGGTTGCATGGTCTTGTTTATGTTACTAAATAAAAGAGAAACAGCATGTCTACCAAATATTTTTGGTGGAAAAAGACAACGGAATACAATAGCATTCAATGTTTGACAACATAGCACTAACCTTATCAGGAGGACCTTTAGCACCTCCTATGAATATTTCAGCACTGCAAATGATAAGATTGTCAAATTGGAGGGGAGCTTTTACCCTCGATGGGCATTAAAGCACACATTAAAAGCTGAAGAAAAGAAACATACTCGCATGACTGCTTTATCGACAATATAGAAGCTCCCCTTCTGCCAATAACACGTCCCATTTTCCCCGGGGGAACATCAACAACAGACAAAACTTCTTCTTCAAGGATACTTCCGTCAGCAACAATGTTTTCTGCTATCACAACCCACCTAATATTAGTAAGTTCGCTCTAAAGGTACAAGCATAAGACTTTCATCTGGGACAGAATTTCTTTAGTCCGAATTCTGCACCCCATCATGGCAGATTTAGATGCATGTCTGCGTTAGTCATGTAAAACAAACATCTGCATGGTTCTTGAACTGAACAACTTATGAGACATCATTGCTTTATCAAGTTAAATTTTCATGACAACCATTAATAGAGGTTTCACAATTTCAACCTCAGGACTAGACAATTTTAAATTGGTGTTTCATAAAAAGGTACATACAAATTTCTTGCCTTTTAGAACCCAATACAGCTTTTACCAGCATACTTGCTATAGCTGTCTATATGCTTCAATCAATCAAATAGGCCTCAGGTCCAGATTAGTTGAAGTCATCCATATTAATCCTTCATATCCACTTCACTCAATTCAGGTCCACTCCAATACTAAATAAATTTATCTTTCTAAGACAAACTGGTGGTTCTAAATATCACATTACTCCTATAATACACTTATAGGCTCGAAAGATTAAATTCATTTCCATGAGATAAACCATAGATGGTTTTTATATTTACAGCAAGCTTAGGGTTGAACAAAACCAGCAAATACTGAGAGAGACAGGGAAGAAATATACCTGGAATCGGAGGTAGAGGCGGCCAGTCTGCAAAATGATTGTCATTGATGCAGAAACAGCGACAATAGAGGGCGCCACGGACAGCTAGGTTCCATAAGGACTTGCCATTCAACTTTTGCACCATCTTATGGTATATATGGAGAAGAAATCGGACATCATCTGCAGCAGCACGGATCATCTGTTCAGACAACGGCCTATATGTCCAATACTTGGGGTCCTGGAAATGTGAAAGACATAATTAACCAGAGAAAGTTTAAGCAGATTTAGTGACTGGAAAACTACAAAAATATAGATATTCAAGGAAAGAAAAAGAAACGAAAACAGTATAGTAATTCTCCTATTTGTATATTTGATGGTTTAATGGAAAACAGGCTCGGACAAATAATTCATCAGCTGAACGATCTCACAGTTGACCAACTAATTTATCTAACTCATCAGAATTTCTCTTACATGCTACTATTTGACACTTACATAATGCCACTGGATGAAATGAGAAAAACATAGTTGAGACAAATGACAACTTTTCCCAGAGTAATGAAGGGAATCCAGACAACATAAGAAAGATTCTTCCATCTTTTAGCCCCCCCCCCCCCCCCCCCCCATTTTCCGCTTAGAGGCTGAAGTGCTCATATTACATATTAAGTCTCTAACTACGGAAAAAGAATCCATCTTTTTCATTGATGTACCGTAGGAATGGGTGTGATTTGGTTATGGGTACTTCATGCAAATTCTTCGAGATACACTTAAAATCAGTTTTTTTCTTTAAAAAAATAGCTCCACATACCCGTATCAGTTATCTATGCACACCCAAATCAACTACAAACCCGTAAACAAATCCATGTAAAATAGGTCTCTAATGTAAATATAGCTACGCAAGGACACAATTTAATCCAAGAAGAGTACAACAAAATGGAAGCAATGAACATGTTCGAAACAAGAAAAACAACTATTCTTTGCTGATGTGCAAGCAAAATTGACTAACCTGTCTTAGAAGAACTCTGACTTCTTCTTTCTCATCATAAGATACTCCTGTCCAAACAAGCAAGAAAATAATCAGTTCCCAGTTTCCACAAATCAAATCTAAATCTGCTCAAAACTTACACCAAAGTAGAGAAGCACTAAGTTTAAGACATAAACACAAGAGAACACTAAATACTGCACCAAACTCAAACTGTTCCTATCCTTGCAGCTGCTTTAGTATGGGTATAAACTATAAAGAACACAAAGAGTAAAGGTTCATTTCTGTGAACAAGTTATACTAGGATAATTATTATATGGGGATTAAAGTACAGGGATCAAACAATGACGGGATTATTTAGTGGACTAGAAATGGGATATTAAAAGGTATAACATAAAACTACAAATTTATTGGTAGATATTTAGTTCATTGGACTAGAAATGGGATATTAAAAGGTATAACATAAAACTACAAATTTGGATGAGGAATTACATTTTGACCATAACTGGATACAAAGAAATGAGTATCAGATAATTTATTGGTCTTACTATAGATTTAAGACTTGTTATGCCTTCCATCAGGCCCTTCACCAAGCCAAAAGAACATAGAATACTCATACATCAGGATTTCTCCTACAATATAGTCCATCCTACTGATGAAGAAATAAGAAGAGTCTGTGGGGAAACAATTTTTTTTATGAGCTGCTAAACAGCAAAAGAAATATATGTGTTAGTCTGCATTGTAAGTCGAAGATGCCACTTTCTGGAGAAGTATGCAGAAAATTCACATGAAGTGACAGCAAATAAAACGGATACGCCTACTCTTGTAAGCTGGTTGGTGCATTTGAAAGTGGAACAAACATAAAGAGCTGGAATGCTAAAGATCAGGGCCAAAATATCAAGATCCTCAAGCTTGCAGATGACATCAATTTAAGCGAAGGGAAGAAAAAGTGAAATTTTCAAAATTGTAAAAAAAATGTTATTAAAGAGTCCAAAAAACGTTACAACAACAACATACTCAGTATAGTCCAAAAAACATTAAATCCAACAAAAAAATCCATAGGCAATAAAGCCACACAGTATAATATTAAGGGATACCAAACAACTTGAATACAAGCTCTAGTTGATGGAACTCATAAAATTTCAGGATAGTTACATTCTTTTAGAAGGCAGCATGGTAGGTGTGATAATTTTAGTTCTGCTAATGAGGTTAATATTTCTACCTAGGAACTTGTCATCTAATTTATAGGAAAAGGCATTCATAAACATGATTGTTTCCACTAGATGTTATGTTTCCTTCATCCTTGCTTTCAAGCTCATATCTATGCAGCAGAATCCACAGAACAGGGTTGCAAAATTTCAAGCCACACGTAAGCAAGAAAAGATTTAAAGCAGAAAGATCAATACCACAATAACGTGGGTCAGCAAGTAGACCAACAAATGATATGTGACAATCTGGGACCCGTGCCTGTCCTTCTTGTTCATTGATCAAAGAATATGCAATCTGCTTGAGGGGAGAGTATAAACGTTAACAATCCAAGTATATCAAACTTGTCATAACCATAATACTCCCCATTTATCACTTCCAGACAAATAAACCCTAGCTAAAGTCAGCTAACATAATATCAATATTGAATTTATAAAAAGAATGGACATGCAAAGGAACATATTTTGGGAAATAAAACAGAAAGACAAGAGAACAAGTGATGAAAGATGTGACTCGTTTGATCCTCTATGTTTTTTTGAATCAGTCAATTCAATACACATAACATGCAACAACCATTAACCACATCACCTACCAGTTGGGAAGAAGAAACTAACTTGAAACATTAAGTTATAAGAAGAGATTGAGGAAAGAAAACTAAATGAATGGCCACTGTGGTGAATAGGAACAAACCAAACATAATTGGATTGACTGAAAATTCAAGTTTTAAATTTTACCCTTCATGATACTTGGTAGTAAGGCAGTAGTGCAATTTAAATAGGCTCCTCATAAAGCGGCCGGTATCATCTTACTTTACAGTTTAGTATATTCCAAGAACAATGTCACTTTCTACATGTAGTAACTCTCTAATTTCAAGAATCCCGCATGACATGTTTAAGATCACAAGATTCAACAGTCTCCCTCGCTTTCTTAAACTCTATGCCTATTCAAACTAAAACACAGTGAATTGGATGGAATAAAATTTTTATTAACCATAGGGCTTTATAGTCACTTGTAAGCAGAAAGCCTGCAGAAAATCTGAGCAAATATTCAAACAATTAAAATGTCTCAACAACCTAAGATATCATACAAGAAAATAGAACTTTGACGAAGTAATAGATTCCTCATACAACTAGACAACTAATTATTCAACCAAAATTATAGTCAAAACTCCTCCTTTGCTTTATTTGCTTCAGTCTACAAA